GCCAGCGCGCATCCAAGACATTGAAAGGGGCACATCGCTACAGAATGTAAATGAAGTATAATACCTCTTCATTTTTAAGCTTCTCTGTCCACGGTATCCTTATCGCTCCAAAAAAATACCTTTGACCTTTTTCGAATTTTTTAATTAACCGTTCGCGGGCATAGAAGTGACTTCTCTTTATTGGAGGCGACTCGACCCTGCAAAAAAAAAACTTTTGGGTGTTTCATTCCCACCAGCCAGTAATGCTGGTGGGCGGGCAGTCCCTCCGGACTACGCCGGAAGGTAGGGCGGAAGGCCCTCTTCAGCCTGCTTTCAGGAATCGTGGGAATGGGTGGGTGGTGGTTCGGGTGAGAAAGATGAGACGGACGAAANAATTCTCGTACATAATGCATAGATTTTCATCATCATCATCATAATTAATTTAGGTCTACTTCTACTCCCGTATTTAGTTCTAATATGTTTCTGACTAGCCCTGGGTGCCTGAGATGGTATCCAACTAACCTATCTCGCCTATTTCTTATTGACTTCCATAGAATCCTCTGTTCTCTTGTTCTTTCTAACACTTCTTCATTAATAAAAATCTTCTCTATCCCCCGCATCCTCATCATCTTTCTCAAATTTCTAAATTTACAGTTCACCAGCATAGAAGTGACTTCTTTTTGTTGAAAGCGACTCGACCCTAAGCTATGCTTTGCTTTATATAACCCCACTGTACCTTCTATCCTGAGTTGTCTGACTTTCTAATGCAGATATCAAAAATCAGCCACTTCTTCTAATTTTCCGCCTCCAATCTTTATAAACCCCTATCCCTAATTTTTCTTCCCATGCATACCGGTATTTTCGTTTTACTTTTATTTATTTTCATACACAGTACTGTTTTGTCAGTACCGCTTTCATTTTACTTAAAGCTATCTCTAACTCCTTGCTAGATGCTAATACTGCTATATCATTTGCAAATCTAATTGTAAGCATACTAATCTTTTGCCCCTGTATATCTATCCCTACAGTTGTTCTGTTTTTAATGATGTTTATGACGTTTTCGATGTATAGATTTACTTACTTACTTAAGGCTTAAACTATACATATAATTGTCTTGTTGGTCTTTGAAACTATGTATCACTCTTCTATCTCTGTATCACATCGCTACATTTTTTGGCATATTTAACATCTTGTCTTTAACAATGATGTTACTGTAAAAAATGTAAACAATTGCACATGAAATAAATCCATACCATCAAAAAGAAAAACAGCAGAAATATAATTTATTCAAACTTTAATTTATTATATTCTATTAAACGCTGAAGTATTTGAGCGTAATAAGATTCATCAGAATTATTCTAATACATAATTTATTTTTGTTGACCTGTATAAAATAAATTAGAAACAAAACGTTAACAAGTAGTTGCTGCTTGCATCAAGAACTGCTGTAATAAACTTATAATACTTATGCAACTTCTTACAATTTTTAAATGGTATTAGTCTAAAATAGGTAATTATTGATTTCACAATTTCTTCATCATGTTATGCCGATTATTATGCACCCATTAATTTTTACTTGCACTTTGTAATTATGTATAACAACGATGGTGAAAAGTTTACCTGTAGTTTTTATGTAAGTATCTTACAAATAAGGACAGTAAAATATAAACTGTGAAGGTGAATTGTCCTATGATAACTTCTGTATTTTCCCACTAAACTAAAACTAAATGGGATTTCGAACTCGTTAATTTGCGATTAGCGAATCGTTAAACTGTCTCCATGATGAGCTGTTGAGTTGAGTAATTAAGACTGACTTCATCGAATTTTAAGGTTTTCCATAAGAATGATTTAGCTATTATACATATTTTATTAAAATAGTAGTCAGAATTTTCGTAGAGATAGCTTGAGAATATCCGATATCATGATCATAGGGTCGTCGGTTCTATTACTGGTTGGACACGCACCTCCACTCTCCATTAGAGATATAAAAGAAAGGATAGCTCAGGGTTGAGTCACCTTTAACAAAAGGACTCACTTCTGTGCTCACGAACGATGAATTTAGAAATTTGAAAAATATTGTCATGCATGTCTGAGGCATGAAGGGCTAGTTAAAGACATAATAGAAACGGAAACAGAAGTCAAGAATAGTAGAGGTAAACCTACATTAGATTCATCTTCATAAGGTCGTCAGTCGTAAGACTCGTTAGACACGCACTTTCACTCCTTCCTATCCTGAGCTAATGTTCGCATTTCCCTAAAACTAGAACATCCCATATCCTTAACTGTTTCTGAACATTTATTTAATCAAGGCCTGTTTGTACTCCTCTGAACTCCCGTAAAGAATTATATGTCTTGTTTTTAAGATACAATTTAACAATCAAAGATTAAGAAAAATTATGATTTTGCACCTGTATCGGCTAAACACTTTGAGAAAAATGATGACATTCAGCAGGACTTATTTTTTCGTTTGTAGTCGCTCAATTTAAACGTAATAAAAAATGGGATTTTTAAAATTTTCGAATGTTAAATACTGCAAAACTGGTTAGTACGATTTGCTGTTCAATGTAGTACCTATACCGAGACCTACAGTAGCTAAATCATTTTTATTCTATTAAAACCGATCCATACAAATACTACTTCCAAACCCTAGACAATAATTTTCAGTCTCTCAGGGTCTTTCAGCGACTCTGAGAGCGTCTCTCACAGTCTTTCACAATTATTGCCTAGGTGTTTTTATGGATCTCTCTCTGTATGAGAGACTCGAACGATAAAATTGTTAATTCAAAGATTCGAGTCTCTCACAGAGAGACTGAATGAATAAAACTGAAAAATTGAGAGACACAGAAGATAAAGAAGAAGAAAAAAATTTTAACCATGTCTATCGAGACACTACTTATACTCGTTCAGAGATTCGAGTCTCTCGTTCAGATTCTAGCCTCTTGTTCAGAGACGCTAAACAGTTTTTTTGACAGTCTCTCAGCGACACCAGAGAGACTCAAAGAAAGACGGAGACTCGAGTCTCGCTTTCAGAGACTCTGAGAAACCGAATATTTTTATCTTGGGAAATTGCTCCTAAATGGTACTTATTTGTTGCTATAAAAAAGTGTTACTTAGCGGTGGATGATTGAAATTGTGTTGTTCAATTATAATTTTAGCATCCATTTATAAGGGCACTGTTTTGGTATAATTCAGTTTAACTGGTTGTGGAAACTACACCACTGCGGGTATGTAGTTGGCGTTTGGTACTTTCAAGGCAGAAAGTCAGTTTAAAAACTATCTAAATACAAGTAGAAGTAGTATATGCAAAATAATAATCAATGTGGTAGTTTACATTTTGCATTTGTAAATTAAATAGAACTACATATTTGAAATAATTACTTCCCCAAGAGGGTCTACTTCAGTGGTTTCCAACCTGTGGGACGCGCCCCACTAGAGGGGCGCGAGACTGTTGCAAGGGGGGCATGCAGCTGTTTCCAAAATATCATTTCGGTATTTATGAAATTAGATTGTTAGAAAAATTAAGGGGGCGCAACAATTTTTTTTTTTAAGGAGGGCGCAGGTACAAAAAGGTTGGAAACCACTGCCACATAATTGGAAAGGAGTAAATTAATCAAATTTGTACCTAAAATATTAAAAATATCTGAGGTATCCTCCTCTATTATAAGTACAAAAAAGATCCAAACAACAAAAGACAATAGTACCTACAGGTATTAGTCCAATGTTTTTTAAATGAAAAAAGTTATTGAAATCGAGGGCCCCTTAGTTTATGTCTCCCAAACGTAACTGCTCTAACATTGTTAATTTTCTCTGTAGTGGTACGACATGAATACAATTTTCTTTCGCAATTTTCCTCCACTGTGTGGCGTCCCAGTTCGCATAGATTCACAAGTCGATCAATACGCGACGGGCGTTTTACGTTTACGCGGAGGAAGAGATGCAACAATCCACCTACGTCCGCGTACTCAACTTATATTTACCCACAATTACAATGCAATAAACCGTGACAAATATCTACATCAGCCACAAACATAGTCTTTACACCTACACAATACGTCTATCTACGTACTACGTGCAATATACAGGCTCATCAGTAATGAAAATGCCACTATTGAAAAACTCATTGAATGAAAACCATCAATTCCATTACTGAATTCAGTTGAATAATCCCTATAGAACGAAGATTTTTGATCGTTAGTAGTTTTATTCTCGAAAAGGGTGGTCAAAGGGTCTAATCAACGATTGATCCTAAAAATAAGTTTTCATCTTCGTAAAAAGGCGCTGCTTAGGCGGTTTAACGGCGAATGCTGACTAAATTGTTGGATATTACGTAAAAATGTAGAGTGTAAAGATGTGATGTCTCATGTACTCTTTTGGCCAAATTAGTTTCTAGTTCATTACATAAAAGTGGTCATCTTACATTCATGATTTTTATTTAGTTTTAGATACCAATTTGTTTGCCTCTTATTATATACAGTTGGTAAGTAGATATGATAACGAGTTCCTAATTAAAGGATTAGGCGTTTGAAACTGTGTAAACTAAGTAAGAAGTCATGTTAACGCATCGCTTTACTACTTTGTAGTGTTGCATGACTTGGTTTGATACAATTTTTGCTAATTGATTTTACATGAAGGTCACGTAGAATTACTGAATGCAAAATAAGTGAAACAAGCGCTAAATTCTGTGCAAATATATGTACAGGGTGGCCCAAAAGGTGAGCAATATGCTCATCAACGGCATACTCTAAGTTTAACCGAAAATTTTTCAGAAAAAACTTGTTTTCTATTTTAATTAAAGATAGCATGAGACATGAGTGTTCGAATGTAGAAAAAATAAGGTTTCGTTTAAATGGCAGCTATATGAAATATGGGTCCAATCGAAGGACAAAGTTGTTCAGAATGCCAAAATATACGACTATGTAAAAAATCGCGCATATACCTACTGATAATAATAAGATCTCATTGGAAGAAAGCAGAAGCATGTTTTTGTTTTAATTTTTGTAAAATACGTATTTTACACTTACTTCATTTGTTTGACTATCGTGCTTTTCCCTGATTCGCCGGCACCTGAAAATAAATAAATTATTAGAAACTGTATAAATGTTGTATTTTCTCAAAAGATAATAAATATTCAAAATGCTGTAAGTATAGAAATTAGTACATAAAAGATATGGATTTATATACCGAAAGAAAATCAGGTGATTTTTATCAATTAATACAGTCTGTATTAACATCTTTGGCGAATGTTAATTGAATTAAAATTCAAACTGTGGTCAACCAATTCTTCTTGAATTAAATCAGCAGCAATTGAGCTGTGACATTTTAACTGTTAGGTCAAAAACTTTATGGGCTCGAATAATAACAGTTATAGATGCTACGAGAAACTAGACACAATTGGTACCATTAATAAGGCATTAAAATTGAATTTTTAAGGTCCCTTATTTACCAATGGCGACTAGTCAATGTAATACGAAAGAACACAAAACAAAGAGAAATCGTTTTCTTTCTTTTATAGAAGAACAGTATAACCACATAAAATTATTTTTTTTATCCTTCGGGAACTGTAGTTTTTCTGGATTTTTCGTACCCCTGACAGTGTGTACAACCTTTTATCCTAATACGTGTCAAAAATCATCTATGATCAAATAAATGTTTTTTATTCCTCGGGGATGCCCTTTCTGTATCCTTGACAATGTGGATACAAAACTGTATGATGATCGGTTGAGTACTTAAGGAGTGAAAGGGTAGAAAAAGTAATGACGATACTTATGAAATTTGTTTAGCGATCTAAATACTCATTATAATTAAATGTGAACCACCTGATGCGCCACATTAATTGGTGATCGATCAAAAAAGCTTTTTCTGGTTCATTGCCAACTTACAGTTTCGCATTATCACGTTTACATTTAAAGCATAATCGTGTTTTAGCGGGCGGATTTTCAAAATAGGAAAAATCACATTTAATCGCAATCAAATATGTATCTACCGCTTCCCATATGCTACAACAAACTATTAGCAAACAATAAATTATGATCCTAAATTAGTCGATTTGTAAAGCACTTAACAACGTGCTCTTAGAAATGAACAACAAAACATTAAATTCGTTATTCCTAGGCTGTAATAAAAGTAATTATTTGTCTGATATTTAATTAGATATCTATTGAACTAAAGTATAATTAAAACAATAATAATAGTAAATAATATATCCATGAACAAGTAAAATGGTTTGAATAATTGACAGTAATTATTTTATTTTCTTGGAAAATTATAAACAACTAGGTATGTAAGAATGTTGAATTAATTCCATATAATTACATACAGTGCGTGTCATACAGGAAAATATTTTTGGGCTTTATGCTATTTTACAGATACCTTTATGTATGATACATACTGTAGTATGCACCTATCGCTAATATGAAGTATATTGTGAATTTGTCATATAATCTAAGGTATTTTAAAAGTTTTCCATAAACGTGAATTTTCCCTGTAAACCCATAAAAATTTTCCGACGTGCCTGCACAAGCAGATCGGTGCCTGTCTCATTATATTATACAAGTGACGCCCTTGATTAGATTTTAAATATGCGCCCTCTGAAAGGTTGCTTTTCAGGGTTGTATTAGATAATTTCTGTACGCCCCTTCTAAAGTAACGTATTACAATTCATACATTATGAATAAATAATAAAGTAGATACTTCTTTTACTGCTCTCATAATATTACTGTAACAGAATGAGCAAATTTGTATACCATAAATAAATTAATTTTTAATTCATTTTCCGAGAATTGAGATAGATCATCAGCTAAAAGCAGTTTAATCGATTTTTGTGGAATAATAAAACAATTTGATCACTCTATAGTAAAACTCATTGCATTAACTATACATCAATAAACCACTAGGTACATAATAAGAACTTTATTTCTTATTTTTCCTTATTTGAAATTTGTGAATTCCTTTTCCGTATTGTGCGTAATCCATCTTATGGATTTTTTACCAAATATGGTATGCATGTGAATGTCAAATTAAAGGTAGTTAATCAAATTTGTAAATGTTAAATAATGTGATGATTACGTTTTATTACACCCAACTTAAGTTAACATTAACTCTGCGTCTAGTGAAGCGTAAGAAGGATGTATTTGGGTATAGATAATTTTAAATTCTCTCTCCATATTAAGGATATCGAATATGCTCTCATTTTATCAAGAATCGAATTAAAATTTAATTAAATAGAAGAGTAACCAAACTCGACCTTGTGCATGCATGACTTCAGAAAATGCTCCTAGGTTGTTCTTGTTTTTTTTTTTTTAACTAGAGACAAACAAATAAAGGTTTAAGTTTGAATGTTTTTTTTTTTACTTCTTTATGACTTTAGAAATGATGAATTTACTTTGAAACGATCTTTTACTTTGTTTGAAAGTGTCGCTAGCATTAGTGGTGGGCTTCATCGGAGGTCCTTCCGGATGTACATCCAGAATCGGAGATGGAAGGACCTCTGAAGAAGTTCGCCACCAGCTGGCGAAACGTTAGAAAAGAACTCCAACCGACGATTAATTATTCAGTTTGACTTGCACATAAGATAATTTTTTCTATAACACTGTAATAAATGGATTATTGTCCACGCAAGCAGCTTGGTCGGTCAAGGAAAGTCTGATTTATCCCTTCCTTATAATCAAGGTGTAATCAAAGTCTTTTTGGCAAAAACCAAACATATGCTAATCTAAAACAAAAATACTGGTATGCAAGAAAAGGAAAAGTAGGGAAACAGCGAATATAAAGATAGTAGACAAAAATTAGAAGAAGTGGCTGATTTTAGATATCTGGGAAGTCAGATAAGTCAGGACGGAAGGAGTAGTAGGCATATAAACCAGAGGATAGCGCAGGGTCGTGTCGCCTTTAATAAAAAGAAGTCACTTCTATGCTCGCGAACGATTAATTTAGAAATTCAGAAAAGATTGTTAAAGGTGTATGTTTGGAGCGCGCCGCTATACGGGTGCGAAACATGGACAGTGGGCGCGGCGGAAAAGAAAAGGTTAAAAGCGTTCAAAATGTGGTGTTACAAGCGAATGATGAGGATACCGTGGATAGAGAAAGTTAGAAATGAANCAGTCAGTTAGACATAAAATAAATTAGAAAAAAAAACAATAAAGATGAATTAATTATATTCATAATTCAGACTGATCCATATACGTGCACTAGACCACAATTCAATACGTAATTACTTATTCGTCGCTTTCTAAATGGGTCGGTTTAACTGTAAATCTGATACATTGCACGTTTCAAAGGTCAATGACGTAAAATTAATTGATTTTTGCTTAAATTAAGCATAATCCTGGCGTGACATATGAAAATATCTTTCGAAGTATGTTATTTACTTATACCTGTATTAAAAGTTACCTACTCAAAATTTCGAAAATTATATAATATCGTTTCTGGAAAATATGAAATTTGTTTTTCCAAATAACATTTTGTTTTCGATTTTGGATTATATTTTATAGTGTTTTATTTACAGAAGTTCTCATAAAAGAAGTTAGAAGGTAGTTACACGATTAGAGAAGTTAGTTTTGCACGTGTTTTTTGAGTAGAATTGTAAAAAATTGACAACGAAATAAAATAAACAATTTAGCTATCAGATGAAAAGTTTCACCATTTTTTAAAATCGTCAAAAATCACATTAATTTTAAAAAATTAATTTCGTTTACGATATGACTTCCAAACCTCTTTAAGGCAGTACCTACATGTAGTTAAGTCGAATTTCGACCTCATTCAAAAGGTTTTGTTTAAAATATCTGGGACATACCTAGTTGAACACTCTGTTTCGCTAATGAAGGTGTTTTGTGCCCTTCTATCCGGTTCACTGAGCGGAAGAATATGCTTACCTCTCTCTCATTGTTTCCGTAGGTAATGCCAAGATTCGGCATCGCCCTTAGAATGGCTACTAACGATTGTATCGTGTTGCTGTAAACTACCGGTCTATATTGTTTGAAGTCTTCACTTGTAAACCCACTTTCGTGAATAATTCTGAAACAAACGGAATATTTATTAACGAATGCTAATATGTACACGGAAAACAACAACGAAATAAACACGAGTGGAACGTTTCGCCAACTCTATTGTTTCACTTGAAACTTATTCTTATCAAGAAAATAAGGGTAGGTATTACATTTTAAAACTTGGAAGATTAACATAGAGATATATATTTCCTTATTATTTCTGACAGGATTTCTGCTTTTTTGTTCATTATTGTTATGTGAAGTATATTGTTGGGACTGTCGAGTTTCTACTTAATTTTTAAAATTGCCTGCAGAGAAAAAGCTTTTAACAACAAATTTTCTTTTTGCGGCTTTTCTTGGTCTGGACTAATCTCAGACGTTCGAACGGTTTTTAGAAATTCGAAAGAGATTGTTAAAGGTGTATGTTTGGAGCACGGCGCTGTACGGGTGCGAAACATAAACGGTGGGCGTTGCGGAAAAGAAAAGGTTAGAAGCGTTCAAAATGTGGTGTTACAGGCGAATGATGAGGATACCGTGGATAGAGAAAGTTAGAAATGAAGAGGTATTTGAAAGAGTAAGAGAACAGAGGACTCTATCGATGTCAATACAAAATAGGCGAGATAGGTTAGTAGGACACCTTCTCAGGCATCAAGGTTTAGTCAGACATATTAAAGGCTGTTCGCAAATAGTTAAGGATATGGGTTGTTCTAGTTTTAGGGAAATGCGAAGATTAGCTCAGGATAGGAAGCAGTGGAGGTGCGTGTCCAACCAGTCTTAGGACTGACGACCCTATGATGATGACAATGCTAATCTTGAAATTGAAACCTGAAACAAAGTTTGAGGGCGAGAAAACAGGCGATTTTTGTCCTATTTTAGTAGACACCCTTTGCATTAGACTGATTTTTCTTCTTTGGAAATGAAAATCATGGAGGTAATTTGTACTTGTTTATAATTTTTTTTGGCTTTGTAAATGCCGTCAAAATACCAAAACTGATTGCTCATGATAGATACGTGCACAGCGGTTGAATATTTGTGCAAACCGTGATTTAAGTCCCCGTTTGCAGATTTGTCGCACATAAC